AACAACCTCAAAAATTCGTTGAATTACATCTATTTACCGGAAAGTACGCGAAACCAGACTCACCCCCTAGTTTGCCACCCTTGGAGGTGGAATATTTTCGTCAAATTTAGATGGGACCAATACTGAGGACCGTCTTTCCAACAAAAAATAATCATCAAAATTGGTGCATAAATACAAAAAAACAGACGAATTGAGAACCACCTCCTTTTTTGAAGTCGGTTAAAAATACATAAAGAGAGTGTTTAGAGTGGCGAGTAACAGGCGCAATTCCCCTCGGATTTAAAGTTTCAAGTGGCACTGCAACTGTTATGGGTAGGCGTGTCGCTTACCACCAGGCGCACGACTTGTTCGTCCCATCGCTGTATGTCTTAAAAAAACTCATAAACACCTTGCACGAGGGTATCAGAAATAAGATCCAATGTTTTTTCTATGTATTTTCCCTTTCGGACTGTTTGTACTACTTTTGGTTCAACAAATGGGATCCGGTAGGATTTTCAAGTATTGAGGTTCCCACTTAAATGGTGAACGACGGTTTAAGTTTTAACAAGTAAATTTCTGGGTTCGTGACACAAGTTTTAGCAATAAAACTTCTTGAAAATAAATGATAAAAAAATGTTGACATGGACAATGTCAAAACTACTTTGATTATTAAGTACTACCAATTACATAATCTCAGTACAGAGTACTTAAAACAACCGACCTCAAAAGTCATTCATCCCTTTGTTTGCCAAGTGGAATATTTTCTTCAAATTTAAATGGGACCACCTCTGAGACACTCTCTTTCCAACAAAATCAGTTAACAAATGGAGGTATCGCGTAACATACATACAAAAACGTCCTCCTTTTTTTGAAGTCAGTTAAAGAATAAGATTTCACATCGAGCTTTACGCTTAGAGGATGGGAAAAAAATAAAAGGCTTTAAGCGACTATCGACTATAATTGACCACCTTCGGATTTCTAACAAACAAATTATACAATGTGTATTGCTAATTTGTTTGTTTTGCACGTAGATATGAGTGACAGAGACGACGTTCTACAAAACCGAAATCTGTCGATTAAGGCTGATTTTACAGCTGCAGGCCATCCGCATTCGTAGAATTCACAGTGCTCTGGATAGAGTATTTACTTTAGTGCAGATATTCACAGAAGACAGTCGCCTACAATGAACGCACGCGTGGCTTGCGTGGAGTTCGTGCGGAACGTGCTCTGTACGGAGCAATCCGCGTCACTGTAAAGCGACGTTCTAACGCCACACATGTTACTCCGCTCCGGTGCTCCGCGCGAATGGTCGCAGATAAATCCGCACTGGTCTGAAATCTGCCTCCTTGAAACAAAAAGAGGGGAGTTATAACTTTGAAGCATTTATCTATGCATCTGTGCTTGTCTGTGACATCGTAGCTCCCAAATGGGTGGACCTAAAAGCGAGTTTTTTTAATTTAAAGGAATTCTTCTTTCGATTAGAAGGTCTGGAACACTCTATCATTATGTCGTTGATATACCACCCATTCGCACTAAGCGCTTTGCTTCCTCCTTTCTGATGCGTACGGCAAAGGAATGGAATACTCTGTGTTTCCCGAAAAGTACAATTTGGGGCTATTCAAGGCTAGAGTGAATAGGTATTTTTTAGGCAAACGCGTATCATCGTCGGTCACATCGTCACTTAACATCAGGTGAGATTGTGGCTAAGCGTGTGTCTAAAAAAAGCATTAAATTTGGACGGCAATTGGCTATGTTTGATGAACATCAGTTACGCTGTTCAAGGATCATCAGCTCTTTCGTTAGTATATGTAGGAATCACATTGAATTTTGGAAATACGATCAAATTTGGTATATTATAGAAATAACTTGAATCTGATGCAATCAGGACAGTCCAGAGACTACCTAACTCTTTAATTATTCACGTAGAACTATCATCTTTGGGCTCAACGAGTTGTCAGCTTACGGACGATGTATTGTATACACAATATAGAGGGTGTAACCGTTAAGTGTACCGAGGCGATTATTCTGGAAATAGAAGAGATATCAAAAACCTTTAAACTGACATCGAAAGTACGTTACCTAATGAGTAAAACGACAACAATAACTTTTTAAAATAAAACTAGAAATATATAAAAGTTTAACGTTTAACGTTTAATATGACATTCGTAGGCTTTCGAGGCTTTAGTTGACCTACTTTAGAAGGTAACAATAAGTTTACTGATATCAAAACTGCTATAAATAAGGTTATAAAACTATATTTTAATAGAATAAAAACAAATTGATATTTACTTTTAAGTAAGCACAAAATTTTGTATTCAAAGCTGTCGTTCGAAACCTTCGAAACTAAAGCCGTTCTACGAATGTCATATTGAATGTATGGAAGCGTTTGACCATACAATTTTGGATATTTCTAGAGAGTCCTACTCATTAGGTAAGCCAGTTTCGTTATTTTTTTGATACCTCATATTTACGAACTAATCACCTGGGCATACTTAATGAGTACACCCAGTATAGTTCCAATATATTAAAGAGACCGTTGACTAAAATACAATCCAATAATATCTGGTATATAATATATAAATTCAAGGATGCAGTTGAACTTTGGATTTGGATTTTCAATTTTTGAAACTATATACACTAGCCAATGTTGTATCGAACACATACATCTATATATACTTTGCTTGTTTCGTCTACAAATAGTAAAAGCATTAATAAAAATATCGAAACTTGATATAATTTAGAAACATTCATTATTGTATGTAAAAAAATATATCTGCCAACGGACTGCACTCATCGGAATATCATTTTGAATATACTGATTGAAACATATCTAATATTTATATTGTTCTTACACAGTTTTTCATGTACATTTTTGTGCACAACTTTGATAAAAAGCATATAAGACAATTTAGGCTCCGTGTAGAAATACTATTTGAGCATTTTAGTTTTTCAGTGTACCTTATTTACAGACCTTATTTTAGAACATTACATTGATTAGAAATATTGTCAGTAATTAATACAAATAATTTATTTGTTATTAAATGTGATGTTTCGAAATATATTCTGATGTTTCTGATACAAAAATAAATCGTTGTTTTAATATCGTCCACCTTTGTCGTGCCAAGAAAAAAACCACATTTAAAGTAATATTTTATTGATTTATAAAATCTACAAAACGTGTAAACTTTATTCAAAATATTTTAGTTCTTATTAATTGTACATTTTACTTTCTTACTTAAGTAGTATACAATAATCTCTGAAGTACTGTTATAAATCTGTCAGGCAGGTAATGGCTATAATCTCAATTTACTTTGCCGGAACGGGGACAGAGAATTTTTTAACCAAATTCTACATAGCATAATAAACTTAACGTCAAATGTGTAACGAACAAACTGGATATATTCCGGTACATGCAGGAATTTCCTAGAATCCGCGAAAATTCTCCGAATGACTCGCGGCCTGTTTATCAATTATTATTAGTTACTTATATTTTGTTCGAAATAAAGGTTCGAATTTGAATTGGAATGTTTTTTTAAGCAAATCGAATCTTAATGTGCATCATAGTAGTAAAAGTCCACAAAGTTGCAAGGTGGGTATTGTGTGGAGTTGCGTCTTTTTCGTCCAAAAAAGATTTTTTATATCGAAACTTGTAAGCATGGGATGACACCAAATTCCGTATTCGTCATTATACCCGGCGCTTTGGGTGAAAACCTGGTCAAAACCCGGGCGGGTTGATTTGCTTTTACCCTACTGCCCACCTCGGGTAACGTACAAAAAAAGATACTATAAATATGAGTCAAAAAACAGGCCCCACATCTTCCGGAAATTCTCGCGTAAATCCGTAAATTGTCGTGTTAACTCGGAAACTCTCGCACAAACTCGGAAATTCCTTCAATTACTGCATTGTATCTAGTTTGTATGTTACACAACTGTCATAAAGTTCATTATGCTATATACAATTTCATTACAAAAAGTCGCTTCCATTTTGAGAATGGAGTCTTAATTGAAAATTTATTCAATCCGCTCATCCACTACCAGGGTAACTTCCAGATTAGTTTTCACAATCTAATTTCGGTGGCAATTTTTATTATTTACATATTCTATAATATTATCACGAAATATTACTTAATATTCCAGTGTAGTATTCTGAAATCCTATTTAAATATACTCGAATACTTAAATAATAAAAACTGCCACCGAAATTAGGTAGAGAAAAATAACTTCAAATTTACCCACTAATTCAATATATTACGCTATTTATTTTAAATGACTAAGTTAACTTAAACGTGTTTTGCTTAAACTAAATATAGAAGACTATTAGAAGTGAAACTATTTTATCAGATCTGAATTGTCAACTCCATATATGTATAGAAAAGCAAATAAGTAGTCGATCCAGTCGATTACTTATTTCTATAGAAATTTTCATTAATTTTTCTATTAACATTACGGGAGTTGTGGTGGGTTATTACACAACATGACGCGTTGCTCCATTCCCAAAGTAAAAAGTAAAGTAAGTAAAGTCCATTTCACATAGAATGAGTCCTGTGACATTTCAAATATTATTAATTACGTTTCACGCATACTGTATTTCTAAGTAATCTCTCATCCAAGTTACAAAAAGAAATAGTAAATTTGTCATCATTATAAAAACAAACAATATTTGTTGGTTGTAATTTTAAATTAAAATTACTGTATATTAAGTAAAAAGAAAAAGAAATGATAAAGATAAAAATCGTGTTTTTCGCATCAATACAAGTGCATGCACCTTATATGCGCCTCGTTTTCTTTTGTTTTGAGCATTGCGTGATGTGTTTAGAGTTTTTTTTATGTATGTTACGCGATAACTCCGGTATTTGTGAACCGGTTTTTATGATACTTTTTTGTTGGAAAGAAGGTGCCTCCATAGTGGTCCCATTTAATTTTAAAGAAAATCATCCACCTCTACGGGGGCTGTTCACGCAAGAAGATTCATTTTTATAAATAGCGCCTAAATTTTACATATAAGGAGCAATTATTTTAATGGTTGATTTTGCTATTCTCCAATTCAAGGCGTTTTTTTCTCTCAACATACTTTGTGTAGTGAGAACCGATTTTTATTATCTCCTGTGTCAAGTCCCGTACAGTAGCGAACTAGGGGAAGAATCCGGATAAGCGCATTTTCCGGTATTTCTCCGGGATTTCTACATTGAGCCGGCCGGGGATTGAACCCGGGACGTCAGAGATGACAACACCATGAAATTGCCATTGAGAGGACGATTGGTTCTCAATTGAAATGTCAACAGTTCGAATGGTGTGCGCATGACGTCAATGTCTAAGTTGCGCACATTTTTGAATGTTTAGAAGTTATATTTGTCACTAAAAATGAAGGACAACAACAATATAAAACGTATCACAACCATTTAGAAACGTGTAAAGTCCCTAAGCCGCATGGTCAAAGGAGACCCACGCCCTGCAATGGGACGTATAATGGTTTCATGATGATTATGACGAAATTTTATCACGTTGTTAAATATACAAGCAAGTCTTAAAGTTAAACTTCATAATCTCATCGCTAGGTCAAGGTTAAGTAGTTATGAAAATGTAAGTTTTCATCGAGTGCCTGCAGCGCGGCTGTCAGAAAGTCTCGTTGTCAAACCACTGCCACATCTTCGGCTTCGTGTAGTCCAGCTCGTACTCCTCGCACTTCTGACCGGTTATCCTGGAGAAAAAAAGTCTGTCAAATGGTTTCCAAATATTCTTCTCTGGCCAGCAGATTAAGCTCCGCTGCATACGCAGTCCGCAGAATACGTGAGCTTACTGATGTTAGTACTGCTAGACTAGTTTACTTTAGTTACTTCCATAGTATAATGTACTACGGGATTCTCATGTGAGGTAAAGCGGCAGATATTCAAACCATATTTATATTGCAAAAACGAGCGATTCGTTCTGTGTACCGTCTAGGCTCTCGGGTATCTTGCAGAGAAAAGTTTAAGGAGACTGGTATCATGAATGTGGCATCACACTACATTTACTCAAATATTTTATATGCCCGTAAAAATATACATAATTTCAATAAGAAAGAAGATATCCATAATATTAACCTTAGAGCTAAGTCCAAACTCATGGTACCACGATTTCGTTTAACCAAGGTAAACAACTCTTTTATGGGGAACTGTATACGTTTTTACAATAAAATTCCGGAACATATAATATATTAAGTTTATCATTGCCTAAGTTTAAAAACTACATTAAAAATATTTTGATCGACAAATCATATTACAAAATTGAAGACTACGTGTTAGATAAAGATGTATGGAAAGACGACACGGCTCCAGAATCCACACAAATTTGATTCAAAGTGTATTCCATAGAATTTAAGTTTATTTGAAAAGAGCATTCCCTAGACTTTCTTGCTCGTTCTTCTCATGGAGGCCAGGGTAGTGAACGAGCAGTAGCTCAAATGTGACGTTTTCAAGTGTAAATTTATTTTACCTATGGAATAAATAATCTTTGACTTTAACTTTGACTCTGAATACTTCCAAAATCTTCGTATAGCACTTACAATAACTTCAAATAACATTTCTAAATAAATTCTTCATTTTTCAAAGGGACCCATATTCAGCAGTGGACAAGGAACTCTTAGCACGATAGAGCCACATGCGAACACACCTCAGAAGTGCTTTTGTCATATGAAAATAACAACAATAACAATAACATACACACTCATAGCCCCTTATTAGGGAAACCCTGCATCGCGGGTGCCATGGACACACACATAGATAACCACAAATTACACCCAAACTCACGAAAGAAATAAATGAAGGCCATACATTTATTTTTCCCGGCCCGATAATCGAACCCAGGGCCCTTGTATGGCAGTCCAGCATGATAACCGTTCGGTCACGGAGGCAGTTAAATCATAAAAATAATACGAACCAAATGAAACAAATTACGTCTATGTGAAATTTTGGGATTCGATATAGTTACTTTTGGTATGTTAGTGAGAGGTTTGTCTAAAAATTAAAGTCACACATAGCGCCACAGGGATTCGAACCGTAGACTTCGCGGTTGAAAAGCAACTTTTCACCAATTAGGCTAACACCGATACAGCAGATTGACACAAAATAATTTACGTACCTGGTCTTTTTGACACATTTGACGATGGGATGCGCCTTGCGAAAGCACTGAGGTCCCAGCACGTTAAAGTAGGTGAGCCCAATCTGGGCTGAAACCAGTGAGTTGGTCTTGCGCAAGCACTCTTTGAACTTTACATCGCAGCTGCAGTGGGACCTGATACAACGCAATGCATTAAAATTCATTTACGTAACGAATGCAAAAGAAATAGCCAATCAGATGACATTGGCATTACGTGAAATCACACTGATAAACCAAATTTGGTGGTGCTAATATTGACTTTGACATAAATAAACAAAAAAGTTAGTTTCTACATTGACCGAGGATCGAACCCGGGACCACAGAGATGGCGATACCATGAAAACATAAAATGATTTTTTAAGTTCTTAGGTTTTCGCGATTGTTATACATAGGAATGAAACTATTTTTCCGGATTTAAATCGCGTATATTTGTTTTTTCAAACAAACCGACGTTTCGGGCCCTTTACAGGTCCCATGGTCACGGTTGACTGAGGTAGTACAGTCTTCAACCAGTTATGTCTAATATTGATGCAAACCACCCTATTTTTTCACTATAGTTACAATAGTTATTAATTAAATACCTTATTTTTAATTTTACAAAGAAAACATTCCGTCGCGTAAACAAGTCTGCAGTCTGCGAGCATGTCATGGATAAACCTACACATTCAATGAAGTTTGACAAACCCCAGGTCCTTGCAAAAGAAGTCCGTTATCTGCCCAGGATGCTGCGAGAGGCCATTGAAATTAAAAAACATCCTAATTTCAACAGGGAAGATGGTTTCTCCGTACCACCAGTTTGGGATCCAGTATTTCCTCTAATGAAAAATCCCAAACAGACATAAGACTGCAGTACTAATTAATATGTTTTAATTTATTCTAATTTCTATTAATAATTAATAATAAATTAAACTTAATAAAAAAATTCATTCAATAAAATAATTTGTAAAACTTAATGTAGCGTAAATTGGAATGTTTTCTTTGTAAAATTAAAAATAAGGTATTTAATTAATAATTATTGTAACTATAGTGAAAATATAGCGTGGTTTGCATTAATATTAGACATAACTGGTTGAAGACTATACCACCTCAATCAACCTTGACCGTGGGACCTATAAAGGGCCCGAAACGTCGGTTTGTTTGAAAAAACAAATATACGCGATTTAAATCCGGAAAAATAGTTTCATTCCTATGATTTTTTAAATTTCGCAACAGGGCGAAGGTCCAAAGTCATTACATTATATAATAATACCACAGAATTAAGCCTACCTGATACCAGCTTTCTAACTGCTACTCCAAAGCTAATTTAACAACAAATTGGCCTAATTTTAACGTAGGCTTACAGCGTAATTTAGTCCGTCTAGTAATCTAGACGCAGACAACTTAGTTATATAATACTGTGGTACGTTAAGGGCTTATTTGGACGACCAACTAGAGCACCATGGTGCAATAACGTTTAAGATTTCATTTGCTGCATGCATGCTGCTGACCGCAGGACTACTACACAAGATTGCTGATTATGCTACATGGTTGAGATTTTGCAATGCGAATTGAAGGCTGCACGTTTTTATAAACAGTTCCGTACTTCTATATCATTCTATACCACTTATTACCATCGCCATATTAACTAAAATAGTTAATTAAAACTTTATAGCGATAAATAAAATATGTAAACAAGACACACGATCCGGTCATTATTTAGTTTCTCTATAGTAGCCACTAATAAATAAACCATTAATGTTAAGAATTTTCGATTACCTTCGGGAACAACGTGAATTAAATTTCCCGTGAATTACACGACTATCCGCAAGTTGATTAACGCTCGTAATGAACGGCTGAGGTTATACAACGGTTGCATCATCGCCGCAAGCGCAGTGCCGGCCAGTGAAAGCCGGCCTCTTTTTTAAAACAATGTGATAAAATATTACTTCTATTTTGAGCATGACGATGAATGATCATCAGTCCTTTGTTTGACGACTGAGGTACAAACAGTCGTACACTGGTGTCTGTGTAGTCGATACCAAAACTCAAAACTCAGCATGTGCCGCACCTCAAAACCAATAAAATTTGTTGTACGTATCGAGTTCTTAAGTTTTCGCGTTTGTTATGCCAAAGTGATGAATTTTAAAGGTGGTTTGCGTTAACATTAGACATAACTGGTTGATTGATGACTTTACCATCTCAGTCAGCCGTGTCCATGGGACCTGTAAAAGGTCCGAGACGCTGGTTTATTTGAAAAAAACAAATGTACGCGATTTAAATCCGGAAAATAGTTTCATTTCCAACTTTTTATTCTATTTCAGGAAATCGTCTTTCTTTTGTCGACCCTTTTTACAATACTTTTTCAAAATTCTCAGCGATGTATGGAAATAGTTTTGATGTCCATAACTAGTCCCTAGTCTTTGGCAGCAACCAACATTTCGAAGCTTTACTACCTTAGAGGATGGAATCCACAGTCCCAGTTTTCTGTCCAAAAATCTAACATGGCACAATAATTTCGGTTGACAGGACTCCAATGACGTTAACCACTAGCTACGAAAAGTTTTAATATATTTCTTTGCACAATGAAAACCGTAACGAGAAAATGCTAAATTTTAAAACAAAATGCTCAACGCAGTGGCAGTTAAAGTGCAGTTAAAAATTATATAACTGTGACCACTCGCCACTAACCGCTAAACCCGTAATTGTTGGTTTGCTACCGAACTCGGTTACTCGGCGTGTAAAACAAACATACTAATTGTAACTAAGTTTATTGAATGTCACAATGTTTCACCACGATGATATTCAATTATATTTTGTGAAATTACTCCACTGGTTTGTTATAATTATTAATCCAAAGATCTAACACTTAGAAAAATTTCCCTCGATCCGACTGGATTCGAACCAGTGTCTTCAACATACTAATGATAATCACTATTTAAATATGACAATTTAATCTAAGTAATAAGAGTTAAAGTAAAGCAGCGCGTCTCCGTTGGCTTGGATACTTCTAGATAAGGAAATATGAATGATCGTGCTGTAAATAGAGCGTACTTGGGTCAACTGACTATACAAGCCGTCACACGTCTGAGATAGCTTTGGTTCGATGAAGTGGACAAGAACTTAAGGGACCCGATACTGGTGACTACCCGTAGGTTCAAAACAGGTAGGCGTGGCGGAATCTGATGTCGGAAGCCAAGACCCACTTTGGGTCATTGCGCTACCAAAGTAAGGTAATAAAAGTTACTGGCGGAAGGGTTCTCTTTCGAAGCAAAACCCGCCTGGGCGGAGGTCCTTACCAACTTCTACCGCTAAGCTGTATTCCGGATCGAAAACAGACATGCGATTCTTGGATGTTATGCCACGCGGAAGGCCACGCATTTGATAATAAGTATTCTGCCTAAGTAACGCAAATGGTTATAGACGACTGTAATCTACAAGATCATCGTCATCGATCGTGGATTGTGTGACTGTCCCTACCACAGTATAAAAAGGATAAAAAATCTCTTGGGAGACTTGCAAAGGTACTCCACCCGCTTTTAATGTAAAAAAAATCCTAATAGGAGTATCGTGCCAGTGGATCGTAAGCAGACCGATAAAATATTATATGCTGTCCTACTCAGGCGGGGGAGTGAGGAAGGAAACAGAATTTGTAGGAAGCCACGATGCGCATCCCGGAAAGAGCTCCGAGCAAGTACCGTAAAGTAGTGGGTTTATTCTACTTATGAAAATCATAACGATGTGTTATGCAACTATTGTCCTTCTCAAAGTTCAAGTATAGAAACATGGGGGTGCTAAAGTGACAACAGTAATACTGTTAAATTAAAAAAAAGATTATAATTGTACAAATATTTGATAAAGGAAACGAAACAAAAGAATTTCAATTATTTTTATATATATTTAAGGCTATTCTAAATGGAAAATACATCTTTAAAAAAATATAGATCCCGCATAATCTCAGGCCTTGTGAAAGAAACATTTTTTACTCTTTACAAGTATAAAACCTAACAATTGAACAAAAAAAAAGAATAATGAAAACTACAAATTAGTACCCCGAGAAACACCATAATTGTAATAGAAGAATCATCAAAATCAAATGCAAGACAACGCTATCTAAGGAATATTCACGGTGCTCTCATCACCATAATCATCTAAACTAATCGATTTAGGACGCAGAATACATCCCTGCAGAACACCATAAGCGCATTCAACGAATCATCGATGTGTCTACTACCAGCTGCATTTATGCATCCTGTAGAATTTAACAAGTATGTGGCAAGGCACCGTTGATGCATAACTGATTACGTTAGCTTGTTACTATCTTGTGCGACATTGTGCGAATACTTGTCTATTGCCTTAGCGAGGTAGAAAGGGAAGGTTTGCAAATCTAGAAAGGGCAACAGCTTTACTGCGTAATTTAGTGTTATGTTTGGAAATCTCACAGAGGTGATTGTGTAAGAATATGGATTAGTATTTGACTTATTACCGGCTGCAACCTTTTTCTTTTTTAATAAATAATATTTCACCGTTATAATGAGTGACAGATATTATTATTACGTGAATAGGAAGACAAATCAAATTCTGTTAAATTCGAGAAAGTTCTTTCTAATTTCTCAAAATCGTGTTGAGATGGCGTGGTGCACAAATTTATTACCCAAGCTTCTTTAAATTTGCCACCACAAATCACGGCCAACATTTTTTCCATGCTCTATATTCGTAGAACTGTCAAGCCAATATTGCTCTTTTCACCGCATAAGAACTGACACACGTCAGGGGTGTTAACTATGTGGCTTTGCGGTCGCAATTACTATTCAAACACGGCAAATATTCTTGACAATTCTAGGATTACAAAATTAGCCACCAACTATATTTAAAGAAATGAACTCATTATCCTGTTACCACATGCTCAAAATTACTTCGACTTTCGTTGTAAGTTCATGCTTACAATCGAATTTGTTAGTGGTCATAAATCAACGCCTGTCGATTTTAACTCTGTCGAGTAGCTATAGTAGACATTGCTCGACCAACGCTAAGAAAATTACTCAGTACACAATAAAAACATTGCATAAAGAAAAATACATCTCACAGATCACGACAAATAAACTACGATTTGTTTGGAATGAATGTTTTCTCTGACGTTGCTGCAAGTGTTGTGGTTTCGTCACTTCATGACCAAAAAGGCGTTTATTGACAATTTAATAATCTCAGTCGCTTTATAAAAAGGTCAAATGTAGAGCAATTGCATTTGTGCATTTCACAAGATTTGGTGGAACACGATTCTATTATACTTGTTTTATGTTATGTATAACAAATTATACAGCATCTTTGTCCCAGTGACAAAATATGTAGAAGTTCCAGCCTTTAATGGTAACCCCTCGGCAAGATCAACTACAGTTAAATTTTACTAACAACCTTATACGAGCACAGTTTCGTCGTTTAGATGTAGGTTATAGACCCCGATTAGGCCATGTATTTATGATGAGTGTACTGGATAAAACGTGTGGTGATAAAATGACTCAAGACACGACAGAAAGTTGAAATCAAGTTAATATTGCATAAATATATGTACAGAGTATAACAAAAGGCCCGACCAAAAATCAGTGATCATACTTATGTCAACACCATGTATAATACGATGTTTTAGAGCATTTTCCAAGAAACGTAAGGGTCTGACAATAAATATTTCTGAGGAATTAAAAATCTATAATCACACCATAACTTTACCTTACAACGTATTTTATTGAGATGATTAAAAAAGATCAAAACTGTGTTAGTCAGCCAAATTGGAAATAACTGTATTACAACCCACCTGGTGAATAACCCAGTATTGGTGAGACCATACTTGGTTTCACCTGACTTGATATAGATCTTGCAGGCATCGTGCTGACGACAGCAGGTGTCCGTGAAGAAGAAAAGGCCTAGTTCACTGTTGGAACGCGCCTGCGCAGAGTGCCCATCGCCGCACCATACTGTGCCTATGTGTACAAATATTAATGCAATATGGAACTAGGCAGAATATTTTGTTAGAAGGTACTTAAAAATTACACTGAAATTTGACCTAATACTACTAGTCCTGGTGTTATCTAAGCACTGCTTCAAAAGTTAACAAGTTTGCCTCACTGAACTAAAAGGATGATATTATACCCTATTACGATTACTAGATAATTCTTGACAAATATAAACCACTTACCAGGGTAAATAGCCTGTACGCGATCCTTAAACATATCGGCCAACGAATTGGCAGCGCTGGCTACACTGGTCACTCCTGAAGCAAGGCTAGAGACGAAACCTCGATCAGAATCCAGCGAACCAATGTCTTTGACCCCCGCCATCAGCTGGCTCAGAGGCTTGCTGAGACCAGTTGAGATACTTTTAAGTATACCGCGGCCAAATTGCCCTGAAAAATTAGAAGACTAGATTTGGCAAAGTCACTTTTGATTAGGTTGCATTATAATGCTTACACAACGTTCCTGGATTACTAGCCTAAACAACGATATAGAAATTGGTAACAGTAGTTAAACGCATAATTAGTGCGTTTAACGCCTGAGTGGTTGCATTTTCCGCTTTCAGATTTTAATATCAAAATCAATTGTTGACGAAACTAATTCCCGCACTTTATAAACTAATAAAGATAGTTTATTTTAAAAACAATAATTGAAACTTATTTTACTTGTAAATTAGGCTGTAAGCTCAGCTATATCTATGACTTTAGACTGTAGCCCTGTATCCTCTTCCGAACTGCAGGGTCGGTGGAGAAGAAATGCAATCTTGTCGAGAGTCCATGGTTAGTCGTTTGAAATTAACACTTAAGGTAATCTCCGATTGAGGCGATGCCAATCTTGTCAAATTTAATGTTACCAAAACGCAGGCGTGTCTTTTCTCCACTAAACGGAGTCCCTTTCACCTGACTCCGACTTTTCGTGATATATCCATACCGATAGCCGACCGTCTTCACCTACTTGGAATGGATCTGTCGTCCAATCTGAACTTCGGCAGATACATTGAACCCATGACCAAAAATGCAGTCAAGAAGCTTGGCATTCTTTCCAATGTGAGGCGTTACTTCACACCGAAACAGTTGCTTCAGCTGTACCAGGCACAAGTCCGGTCGTATATGGAGTATTGCTGCCACTTATGGGATGGCTCTGCTAAATACCAACTGGCCACCTTAGATTCAATAAACAAGCGTGTTAAGAGGCTTATAGATGACTCGGAATGAGTAGAGGCGAAGCTGCAGAGCCTTGAACAACGCCGTAGAGTTGCCAGCTTATCGGTATACTACAGGATATATCACGGAGAGTGTGCGATGGAATTGCATAATTTAATTCCGCCTTCCCCTTTCCATAATCGGGGGACTAGACGCGGGCTGGGGTTCCACCCCTATGTTGTGATTCCCCGGATTCGCACGAAACGTTTCACTTCCACATTTGTATGGCGAGCGGCTGGGGAGTGGAATTCCCTGCCTGCAGACTTGTTCCCCTAACGCTACAACTTGGACTTTTTCAAGGCGAGAGTGAATAGGCACTATTTAGGTGTGCCTGCTACATCCTCGACCTCGTCGTAACTTTCCATCAGGTGAGATGGAGGTCAAATGTGCACTTATTTTTTATTAAAAAAAAATATAAGACCCTTGTTTGTTGGTTCACCCAAGTTTGACGAATCAGTCACTTGAATCATGGCATTTGCGCCAAGCAGAAATGTAATTAAAGCGTCTAACTAATAAACTGTACAGACTGGTCTGAACTTTCAATATACCTTCATCGTGAGACCTATAATAAATCCATCAGCAATAATATACAATCGGATAGAAAATTAACTTGCGCGAAAGGGACAAAGATTGTTTTGTTCCAAAGTTCCCACGAAATAAGGAAGTTGGGAAGCTGTATTATGGAAAAGGAACATAAGAACTACACAGCTTGTAGGTATAGACGCAATATGGGTTTTGTATAACTGTAGCATTGTATGTTGATAATGTTGTTCTCACGTTTACATTTTGTAATTAACTCACTAACAATGAGTTAAACTATAGGTACATTTTGAAAGACAAGTACAGGTTAATGTTTTTTAAACTTAAATTAATCAAGTAAATTAAAGAAATTAGATCGAGACGTATATTAAGGAAAGAACTCAATTTGGTACCAATAAGGGAGGGACAATCTTTTTTTTTTTAAGTTTTAGTTTTTTCATTTCACCATCAACATTTACCTATCACAGAATATGAAGGTGTCATAAGTATTTTATTTATACTACAGGCGAAATTCTCTACCATCCTTGAAGATCTCTACCAGGATGCGTTTGGCCCGTTTTTACGTGTTTTCGATTCTTTTGTATGGCGTAGAGTCCTGGACTCTTAACCCAAATTAAGAGCAACTGCTTAGAAGCCTTTGAAATGTGGGTCTGTAGAAGAATTTTAAAAATATCGTGGACGCATAGTGTCCAATGTAAGAGTATTGCAAATGGTGAATAAGAAATTAGAAGTCTTGAGTACTGTCAAAAAACGCAAACTGCAGTACTTTGGTCATATAATGCGTAATGATAAATACGGTCTACTCCGACTAATTATGCAAAGAAAGATACAGGGAAAGCGACCACCTAGAATAAGACGTACTTCGTAGATTAAGAATCTCGGGACATGGTCCAACCTGAGCACAAGATCCTTGTTCCATGCAGCTGTATCTAAAATATAGATGGCATCTCTAACAGAAGGCACGTGAAGTAACTGTCCATTGCCAAACAAACGCTTGTTGAAAAACATGTTAAACATGTTGACATAATGTCATTCGGTCAAATTCGCATATTGTGAATTCATCTTTCGAATAACGCATATTTACTAAAACAATGAACATGAATCTTAAAGGTATACCAGTACGGTCTATTGTTTTTGGCAAAAAGATATAATTATTAAATTTATTTCCTCATTACATAAATGTGTAAATTCAATACTAACAAAGTAAACCGCACCAGTTGGCACGATGTGTAACAAAAATAATACGATAATTTGAGCTGATGATCGTTACCTTTTTTTTGTGTAAAGCTCATGTCGATATTACCTCGCTCATGTCGAGCACCATCCATGGAGGATGGAATAATTGCAGAAATTAACAATTCGTATTATACAACGTAAAATTATAATAATATCGCACAAAAACTTGTGTTCATGAGATCATAAAATTGTTGCCATGATTACAGATATAAACCTATTATTGTTTGTGTTATATAGAGTAATATATATTTTTTGTTGCACCCTGTATACGGAAACCTTTTACACTTACCTAATCCTCCATTCTCTTCTCGACTCCTCAATCTTTCAGCCTCCAACGCCTCACTTTGCTTCTGCATCCTTTTAAAGAGATCATAAATTCCTTTAGGCACCACTCTTTCCGCCACACTTTCAACCACGCTCTCCACCATACTACCGGCTAGACCAAATATTACTGACAACGCATCAGTTTTCGGAGCGGTGGTGGGTACCACGTCTTTAGCATCATAATAATCTTCAGGCACTTCCTCAGAGTCAAGTCCAGTATAAGGTATTACGTCTTCTTTTGAATCTATTTCCCAATCTGAATTAATTTCTGTTTCTATCTTAGAATTTGTGGTAAATATTTCATCTACGCTTGATTTGTTGCTTGCTGTGATTATGTTGCTTTTATTTTCTTTGGTTTTATAATTTTCTTCGTCGACTGTTGTCTTATTCGGTGTTGAAATCATTAAATCGATTTTTGACGAATTTTGAATATTGGCAATTGTTTGAATTTCTTTTGAATTTGTTTCATTTATCTTTGTTTCAGTTTTTGATACTGTGGTTTCCTTTTCTGGAATACTAACAGATGCAGAATTATCTGTTATATTTTTAGGTTCAAACTTGAACTCGAGAGTTTTAGTAACAGCTACGTCGGTGGTTATACTAGTAGACTCCACTTCAAATTTAACTTGAGTTTTTTGCTCTATTTCTTTATTTAAAGCTTCAATTTCTTTTAGTTGAATAGCTACGTCTCTTTTTGTCGTGGTTGTTTCACTATTTTCACTAATTGTAATAGCTTTGTCATCATTTTCTGTTGTTATGTAGAAACTGTCTGTTGATGTTTCAGTCGATTGTGTCGATGATGGTAATGTCACTGTTTGTGCAATCTCAATAAAAGGAACTGTTCTTTTTGTATTAGATAAAGGAATAACTGTTAAATCAACTGCAGTAGTACTTTCTATGATACTTAGTAGAGCATTCTCTGTTGTACTTATTAATTCTAGTGGTATGACACCTAGATTTTCGCTTGGCGTTGTATCCTCGACAATTTCTTTTGGACTTTTATCGTATGTACTTAAAGTATTCTCTTTAACGACAGTGTATTTGTGAGTATCTTTGTTGAATTTGTCATTTGTATGCCATGGAACAGATCCGTACTTCTTGTTAAATTTAATGGTGTAGTCTTCGTCGAAATCTATGATGTTGTTATCTAAGTCATCATCAGTGGGCCCAACGGGAACACCTGTTATCTCTATAGACTTGCAGATGGCTGACTGAACAAGGATTAACGATGCAAATATGAAGAGATACTTCATCTTTCGCCTCTCCCTGTGGTACATTGTTTTTTGTCCATCTGAAAAAAAAAACAGTCAATAGTTGAAATATGCCATAAAGAAATAAATAAAAAGCACACAATTTCATGGAGATTGGAATTTACGAGAATATCATAATCAAAGCTATAGACGTTATGCAAATTAACTTAGTCACCTAGTCGTACTGCCGGTATTTGTTGGAAAATCAAACTTGTATGCGATTACGCTACAATTCTATCCTTTAGTAACTTAACAAATATCACTATAAAATTGTAACTTCTTATAGTTTGTTTTGCTAGAAAATGCTTTCTAATAACCTTTATTCAAGAACACCAACGCCATTACATTTATTTAAATTGCATAATTTATGCTAATATCTTATATATAAATAAATAAATAAATTAACCTTGTCTTCGATAATGTGATAAAAAAATTTGACACAAAATATTTGTTACTTTAAAATCTAAATAAAGTTTCTAGGTACTTCAACTGCCCGCAAAACAACCAAACGTGTCCTCCTTCTCTTCGTCTGCACATGGTAATCCATCACGCTGCCAAATGCGGGTAGAGGACTATATAATCGATTACATTGAGCTGCGATGGATGAGTCAATAAAATTTCACAAGATTCAATAATTTAGAGTAATTTTCGACCGTGAAGGTCATAAAGTTCAACAGATTGACCGTGATCTCGATTCAGTATTTCAAAGAAACGTCATTCGCGAACGAAAAATTGTGTTCTCGAATACACAATGAACGAGTTACGACTGTATATGCAATAAATATAACTTTTTTATAAAAAATAACCGACCTCATAAGCTCGTGAAATTACATCTATTTGCCGAATTTTGTTGAAATCCTTTACCAGAAAATGTGCGAAACCGGATCCATACCCAAGTTTGTCACTCTTAAAGTGAGAAAATTTTGTTCAAATTTAAATGATGACAGTATTCAGGTACCGTCTTTCCAACAAAAAGTGAATCATCAAAATTGGTTCACGAATGTCGACTTAATCGCATACACACATAAAAAACAATACAGCCGAAAAGAGATCCTCCTTTTTTTTTAAATCGGTAATAATGATGAATTAAGTTGACCGTTTGTTCTCCTGTCACAAATATCAATATGTTACTACCTACAGGTATTGTAAAATGTATTGCAACTACGTTTGGAAGCTGTAGCATTGATTTTGGCAAATTCACAGTTTTCGCCATGTATATTTTTAAATATTCACGGTCTCTAATACGAACAATTAACAGATCATTCGTTACTTAGTGACGAATTTATAAAAGTTATAATAAGTATAGAACAAGGGCAAAGAAGGAAAGGAAGAACAAGAACAAATAAAAGAAAGGGTCAAAATGAGTACGTATAAAGAGGTGAAAGGAAGTGGCTACGGATCGCAAGGAATGGGCACACCGAGCGCGATTCTTAAATACGACGAGGTATTATGACATAACATTAATACGAGGAATGAAAAAAGCCTCATCTTGACAAATCGTCTTTAACGGGGCAATTTATACGCTTCTGGAAAAAAAATCTTTGTGGTGACCTTCTTGGTTCTCGCAGGTTGTGTCCATCTTTGAAATAAATGAATGATATAAATGAAAATGAACATATATATTAAAATAGTTGATTACTGATTATAAAAACATCCAGTAGTTAGTTTATGAGCGGGTAACTCGGAATGGAGTTGTAAATGTCGGTTTTTCGGCGGGAAAAAGGTGGACTGTTCGCCGGTTGTAATGTGCAATCACAAACCCATTGATTTTAAATTAACTAATTTGACGTTATAATTCATCGCGATCTCAACGACAAAACCAATTATCGAATAATTCCTGACACAATTAGTGACAAGGGAGTCTCCCAGTAGCGAGTAGACTATTATATTCCGACATAATATATTTGAGTCTGAAACAATTTTACAACAACAGTACATATGCGGTAAAATAATCAATTGAACTATATTAATAATTACAATATACGTCCAGCCATGGATAATAATAGGTTGACGTGGTTGTGGTATATGGATCGTTTTCTCACAGTGTCAGTTACGAACGTTTCAACATTGGGTGCAATGCAATCGACGAAGCGTGAAATTAATACAATGCCAGTGAACTTAACCTGCAAACGTAATTCCATTAGTAAGAAGTACACATGCTGTAAAAGTTATGAGCGGTTGTTTCTCAATTGAAAAGTAGGCGGTATGAATAGCAAGGATGAAGAGAGACCTACGGCACACCGCTGTACAGAGGTCATCTATCAGACATTGTTTTAAAATATTATAATTTAAAAACTAATTTCGATTTTTTTTCGATACAATAACAATTTGTTTTTATCCGTTAATTCGGTCTTGTGGATTACAAGGTCCTAGGCTCCGGAAAAATGTCATTGGTCATGTCATGATTATTGTTGATGCCTAAGGCAACTTCTTAGTCTTTTGTGTCCTGATATCGATTTGAAAGTAATTGTAATAATTATAACTGATAATAGGAAATTGTCCTTCTACATTTTATTTTTTTATTAAATCACGTTTAACCCTATTCGGTTTTCTATCAACATAATCTATGTATAGCGTCCCAAAGATATCAAACGTAACGAATAAATTGTTCCAATGGCGAGTTAACATATTGTAAATTACCAGTTAGAATTTATTAAAACTGGCTATTTATAAAAGACATACCGTACTATATGTATGACCAACAAGGCGGTAGAACAATCGACAATTGTTTTATATGTAGAGTAAATCATGAACAAAAACCTGACCTTGGTCAGTTTCTTATTCTACGCACAGTAAGCTAATGTTATTAACGTTTTTATTTAAAAAAAAACCTCAAAATTTCGTAGAATTACATCTATTTGCCAAGTTCTGTTGAAACGGATTCATCTCATAATTTGCCATCATTACACGTAAAATATTTTCTTCAAATTTAAAATGGGAACACTACTGAGGTACCCCCTTTCCAACAAAAGAAGAATCATCGAAATCGGTCCACAAAAATCGACTACCTATTCTTTTTGAAATCGATTAAAAACAAACCCCATTGCCGCGTATAAACACACAAACTGAAGTGTTAGGAAACAAACGAACATAGATGGAATGGAAACAAGAAAAAGAAACAAAGAAAGATGCATTGTACGAGTATATCATAGAAAGCTGAAGGCTTCAACCTGTTTGGTAAAATAGATAACTTGACACATGTCACGATATCATGGCTGTTGTAGACTTCTTAAATTTTAACATGTAACAACATGAGATTGGTCAGAGATAATTGGTATGAAAACTAGATTACTGTGGCAACAGTTATACTACCTATGAAAAGTAGATTAGCTCGGCAGAGAATCTCCAGTTATTACTTCAGTGTTTATTACATTACGTAAAATTACTATGTACTTAATGATGAAAATTTGCAGATCTTACTGATGTAGTAATTTGAATTTTGCATTTTGTACCAAAAGTTTCGTACGTACAAATCTCCGAAATGGTGGGCCATGGATTATGGATCAACTACATATTAAAACAAAGTTAACATTTCTACATTAGCACCACAGTACATTTACCAAAATGTAATTTACGTTAACAAAAATAGCAATTTATTTATGAAAAATAGTGACAGACATAACATTACTACGAGGAATAAAAATAAAGCAGCTGTTCATTTAAGGGGTAATGTAATGCTTCTATGACAAGATTCCAGGTGATGTTCAAAATTTGCAATTTACGAGGTTTAAAAAGTGAAACAAAAAATGTATACTAAAGCTGTTATACAGCTTTTGTGTACTTGGATGACAAAAATCCTGCTTTTGGTAGCAACTCATTTGGCGCTAACAGATTTCTCTCGTGAATTTGGATGTAATATGTGCTTGTCTATGTGTGCGTCCAGGACGCCCGCGATACAGGGTTTTCCTAATGAGGGGCTATGAGTGTGAGCGCTAAAAGAAAAAGAATGAGTAATAGCGTTTAGTCAATACGACGATTTCAAGTGTAATTTGTTCACCAATGAAATAAAAACATAAGTATTTGAGTTAGAATCTAAAGCACGAAACCTCGTATTAGTTTCTTTTAACGCGGGTTGAAACTGTTGACTTGAAATAGTTCTAACTTCAGAATATCTCACAATTTCAAATACGTGTAATTATAAAATAACGACTCTCTTTAAAATCTTTTGGTTAAGGGCATTTCTCCCTGACTTCAGTGGTCGAATTTTTTTTTCTTAATTTCAGGTTGAGCGGGAAGGAAAAATAACTAAAACTTACATACGATTCCGTTAATTGGGCAACTAGATTCTTAATACTTAATAACATGTTTGATCCATCTAATTCAGGTACCACCGAAATCAGGATTTCTTGACAAAAGGCGTAATTTTTGTATAAAATATTATGAAAAAGTCAATAAAACATTCAATAATCTACATAGACATTTACTAATATGACTAACTATTAAACCAGGCATTAAAAACTAAAATTTATTTATAAATCGACCAGAATAACGCCAACAACTTTCATCTTATGACTATTAATTAAAATCAAGTTTGGGTGTTCAGCCTTTTTTCAATCACACAAAGTATTTCCGTGAGGAATTCTTTTTAAAAAAAATGTAGAACCTAATCTGTAACTACAAAAGCAATAAATTTTTGGAAACTTGCGCGCTTAATATTTTCATTACTTTTTGTACATGACGAGGTAATTCATGCAGCTTTAAAATCTTTCCTTCTGCTTTTCTTTAAACCTATCATATATAATCGGATCGCTTTTTATCTTTGCTTTTCTAGCACGTTCCTTTATCTTCTTGATTTCCAAGTTTTGGTTTCTGTTTTGATATTCCTTATTTATTTTCAATGGGAAGCTAGCAGTAATATAAAATTGTGAAAACCAACAGTATTAACTAAACGTTTATATGAAAAAACGTATAAAATTCTTACCTTTCAAAAAAATATGGCTTCGATGGCAGGTTTTTCCGACTTCTATGGAAGCTTTTCTGAACTCGGTGGCATTAAATCCACCGAATCCAAGGCCACGGGATTCAGAAAATATACATATTT